GAAGAACACAATTGTTCTTAAATACAAGGATTTAAACCATAAACCACAATTAACCAAAAAAACAAAGTATAAACCACCACAAACCACTAAACTGTATATCTATACTCTAATAGTTGGATCGACCATGTAAGCAACTTAAGCAGCACATCTACATAAGACTGTCCAACCAATGATCAAGATTCGAATAATGGAGCTCATCCTTATCAGTAGATGTTTATTAATACAATGCGCTCTCGATTTAGGCTTGCTCATATATAAAATTTTGGTTGTTATCATATTTTTTTCTGTAACAAATATCCTTTGAATATTATTATCATTAAATTATTAAACCTGTTCTACGTACATGTTCTATACCGGCTATGAAATGGAAATTTAATTCATTATTAACTTCACACTGTTCAGTTTTCTACGTACATGCTGTTCTTCTCTCGCATAGAACTACAAAAGCTACTTATTGTGATTCATTGATTACGTACGTTAAGTTAAACATGTTTGGTTGTATTTTCTCAAAAAGAAAAGATATACAAATAAATGCACATTAAATAAATTTTGTAAACATACATTTCACGTACACCAAACCTGAAACCCCATCAACATCTGCTGATATTGGAGCCTAATCTTATTATGTTTTTGGTGATGGTTTTAATATGCTTTTTTCTCAGCATAATAATGCATAATGTAGACAGAGACGGGAATTGGACGGAAATTTGGCAGAAGATGGAAATGGGTTTTTATGTGCAAGATTTTTATTCACAGCCATTTATTATCTCGTTTGTTCTTTCTCCTGCATTCAGTTCTAATGAAACGTAAGGTTATAATTGAATAAGTCAAAAGTTGGTGATAAGATATAGCATTACTAATACGATCTGATAAAAGCAAACAAATGCATTTTGTTTGGTGTGTATAACTGTATATAGAGAAAACCGTTTGATGCGTTTGGATTTTGGAATACCCCAAACATGACATGTAATGGAAACCTAATTAAAATTTAATTAAGAGAGAGAAAACAAGAGATGAATTAATATGTTATCTTTTGGAATTTCTGATGGTGAAAGATAGAAATGGGGCACCATCTCTACACGTTTGTTCTTCACTTGCTTTCAAATTTGATGCAATTTCTTTCTCTCTTCGAAAGCAAAGCATCTCGTGGAAAATACGTGAGTTGAATAACAACTACAGAAACTTTACAAGAAGTAAACGTTTTCTTTTAAAGGTATTTTAATGTAATAATAGGATTCAGAAATTAGAGTATCTAATTATTCTGGTTACTATTTAATTTTCTCTCTGTAAAATGTATATTGATTATTATTTTATAAGTTCAATAATTTGATGCAATTTCTTTGTCTCTTTTTGTTCAAAAAAACTAATATAATTCATAGAGTAATTGACTTATTTCATTTTTTCCATTTCTGAAAGGCTTTCATCAAAATTGCAAATTGTCTTTTGTTTTGGTGCTTCCTAGCAAAACGCTATACAAACAAACAAAGAGTTACAACTCGAAAAAATTGTGTGGATTAACTTGGACCGCCCATATTGGCCACTTAAATGACGTGTTATACATGATCATGCAAATCGGAGAAAAATAATTCCTGATTGATAAATCAATAATATTATTTCCTTTAGTTTTGCTGCCACAGAATTTATAAATTTCTCATTTTCAACGAAAAAAAAAAGATAACAGTGGACTGAAACGAGGAAAAAAAAAAGATAACAACGAAATAATTCAACATTTTCACTTTTTGGTGCCAAAGTCGTTTTTGATACAAATTTAAGTGCTAATCAATCATCTACAATTGGCACTTTTAAATATATTAAACAATTAGGAGCCACATCTCCACATATTTTTAAGATTAGGATATCCAAATATCATGTCTATTAAAATAGTAAATTTTGAAGGGATATAGTCTTGTTTGTTTGTTAATATATATAAATATATATATATATATCATTACCAAAAATTATCTTCTAAAACCTTATTCACCCTAGTTCATTTTGGTTCAAAAAATATTTTCCTAGCTATAATGTAGAAATACTTCCCGAATAACTGACTAAAATTCTGGATAATATAAGTCGACAAAATTTGTCTTACAACTATTAAAAAATTGTTGAACATGCTCCAAAAGTACTCAATCCATGATATAAAAGTTGCCGGATTCAATTTCCGATTATTTGTTTGAATCGAACCATCCAATTCATGTACACGAATATGCAAGAGTTGCGTGACGAGTAGAACTAACAGTGAATTAGGAGACAACTCAACACTGATCACTTAGTACAGACATCAAGCTGATGAAGATCCGAGTAAGTGTGAATATGATCCTTTTGACTCGTTTTTCTTGACATTCATGATATGAATAACAGATCCAAAATAGGTTTACCGAATAGACAACCCTGAAAATATTTATCTTTATATAGAGAAATTGTTTTTATTGATTTTATAAATTCCCTCACATAGACCTTTAGCTTTGGTTGGTATGTTTATGTAACAACCCTGCAAACATGTCTTTGGTATTTTTCATTCTCTTACCATCTTTTTGTTGTTAACCAAAAAAATCTTTAATCAAAACGTTAATTACTTTTTAGAATATATGAAAAAGCACATATTATTTTGTTACTTATAACGTCTTCAGACTTCAGTGATTACCTATGATTAAATCGGAGTGGGAAATAAACTCGAACTCTAAACTTAGAATTACATGATCAAAATTAACATGGTAAATCTTTCAACGACTGTGAAACAGTTATTATTTTATTTTGTTATCGATGAATTCGTTTTGCTGTGGGCATCTCCATCTGTGTAGAGATGCTTTTGAGTATTTAATATATATAATAATAATATAATTTATTTATATACGAAATTTTAAATAAAAAAGAAGTAAATCAATAGTTAGTTTACATGTGTTAAAAATATATTAAAATAATTATCTAAAAATCTCTAAATAAAAAATGTATCTGTTCTTTTTTTCCTTTTTTTTTAATTCTTTTGTTAGATATTTAAAAAAAAAAACATTAATGGAAATGGTCTGAACGTGTTATGTTTATTTTTTATATATCTAAACAAATAAAATTGAGAAAAATAATTTCAGGCAGTATTTTTATTTTCAAGTATTAAATGAATACCAGTTTAAATATTATCCAACAAGTGTTATAGGTAAAAATACTCCAAAAACTAAACATAATTTCTTTTTATGTAAAGCTTTTTGCTGATATCATTAATCTAAAACAATTCCATATCCAACGACAGCCGCGATGGTGACTAGGACTGGTGGCGGATTAATCGACGGCTGAGATGAGATAAGGAAAAGGGTTTAAATACGGACACGTTGTAGCTTTCCATACACTTGTCGTTCTAATATTGCCACAGCAAAGCCTCACGCTGTCGGCTGCACTCTTCATTATATATGGAAAATACTACTACTATTTTTTTCTCCTAAATGTATTTTCGAACTTAGTTTTGAAATCCTTGGAAACAAAAAACGAGTTCGAAATTTCGAACTGAAGCAAAAGAAAAATAAACGAACTAAAATCAGTTTGGATCCATTCGACGAGAAAAACTGAAAATAAAAAATTTGAATTTTCAAAATTGTGATGAGATATCTATAGAGAACAGGGTATGGTCGAAGCAGAGGATAATTTCTCATAGATGACATGTTTCGTGGCGCTAAACGAGGACGAGAAGACTAGAACCGCCTCTTAAATTCTTAAATAGAAACATTAGAAAATTCGACCCATCAAAATTATCCCAATACCAATCTTGTGTTGTTAATCCCATATTGGCAAAAAAAATTAAAAAGACAATTTTCGACTTAGGATTTTACTGTTGAAAATTCCTTTAAAAAATTCTGTAGTTTAGTTTCTTTAGACCAACTTTAATGCAGATTTGTAAGGATTTAATGACAAGTTTTTAATAATATAATTATATTAAAAAATTATATAGAGTGTTTAATATTTTAGATAAGAATCTAAAATAGAATTTCTTTTTTATTTTAAAAATAGACAGTTGGCAATATATAAGCGAAACAAAAATTAACAAATTAAAAAAAAAACAAAATTTTTCAAATATTAATAATTAATTATTAAAATTTATATACTAATATATTATTATTGGGTTGATTTTAGAGCAATCCTAATAGAAAACTTTAAATGTCTAAAATAAAAAAATTTTACTAATAAAAATAAATAAAAAATAATGAAAAAATCTAAAATAAAACATTCGATATCTAAAATATAATATTTTTTTAGAGTTAAAATATTTAATATCTAAAATAAATAATAAAATATTTTTTATGGTTTTCGATGAGGTTAGTCTTAATGTAAATATGTAAGTGGAAAGAAAATTTATGGTTTGGTCATTGACCAAGTTTATTGTGTTTCTACTTTAAGAATAAAATTTAGTATCGAAATTCATTTATATATATATTTTTTTAATTTGTTAATACAAATTTCTAAAATTTCAGCGTATTACAGATAAAATCATCGGTTACGTATTGCATATATATCATATTTTGTATAAATAGTAGTTAGATCTCTCTGTTTTTAGAGTTTGTAGTTAAATCTCTCTGTTTTTATTTTTCACTTTTGGGTCCCTCTATTTTACTATTACATGATATATTTTTATATAATGTTAAACTTTTTTTTATGGAGATATCTTAAATAATATTTGAATATTAAATTATTTTAAAAAATTAAAAATTATGAAAAAAAGAAGAATCAGCTTTTATATAAAAGACTTAAAAAACTATGTTTAATTTTTTCTAACATATGTTACTTAATTATTTGTTCATTTTTTTTGAAAAATCATGAGAAAACAAAATTTTCTTAATATTTAAATACTTAAATTAAAAAATTTAACATTACACATGGTCTAAGTTCTCAGACCTCCTCTCTTTTTCTATTCAGTAAACCTCTCTGTTTTTACTCAGTGAAGTTTACCTTTATTTTCCTCTTTCGTGTAATCTTCTTTGTTTGTCTTCACAAACTCTTTCTTGTAATCCACTTGTTTGTACTGTTCTTATTAAATGAAATAGTTTGCCGACAAAAAAAAGACTACATATTATTAGTCGTTATTTGACTTTTCTCATTCGCTGCTAATTTTCTTTAAATAATAGGGGTTTGTAGGGTAAAAACGAATCATTTGTCACTATTTTAAAACTGTCGAACAAAATGGTTTCCAAAACTTTGATGCTTGTGGTTCTCTTTGCAGTTTTTGTTGTCGTCTCTGAAGTAGCCATGGCATCTGAGAAGCAGTCTGGTACTTCAATTTTAAATTATTTATTTCAATCTATATCTTCAATTGAAGGCTATTCAATCAAAACACACTTAATTAGATTAAATTATAATAGTAATTCATGACACTTAAGTTTGATGTTGATTTCAAACTATGTTGCTTTTTCTTTGTCAGATTTTATATGGAACGTATATTAATGTTTTTTTTTTCTAAACTTGAAAGTAAAATCTTGGAGAGAAACACACATCTACACGTATTCAGCAATATCTTTTTCGCCAAAGAAAAAATAATATTTTTGAAATAAAGAGTGATTGACAAAGCAAAGCAGTTCTTTGAATTTGTTTTGTTTAGGCACTGTGAGCGCAGAAAGTGAAGAAACACTGTACCCTGATCAAACAAGCTACCGAGCAGACCTCCCACACGGCCGAGCATACGGGGGATGTTTCAAGTCTTCTTCGCATAACCATCTCATGGTGGTTCTGTGGTTGTTAGGATTCGCCATATGTGGATTTTAGGTCATGATTCAAGTTTTCTCATGTGATTTCATGGATGATTACTCATTAATACCTTTAATAGCATGAAAATCTGAATTTCTGTAGGATTTATAAGTTTGGGATGCCCACACTTAACCAAAAAAATGTCTCTTCCACATCGTGTAAAAATAAAAAATGACTAATCATGTAAGATGAATGATGTCCAGTCCAAAATTTTAATATTATTAAAAATAACTGATTATATTAACTAAAATTAGTGTTTTTAATTAATAATATGTAAATATGACATTTTAAACTTTTTAAAATAAATAAAATATTTTGATTAGTTAAATTAAAATTATAAAATTATGAAATTAAAACATAAATAAACTAAATTATATTTATAACATTAAAATTAATAAATTTAAATTAATAAAAAATAAAAATTATTATAATTTAAAATTTTATATATATTTATAATTTCATAAAATATAATTACGAATATTTTCTAACAATATATATATTATAATTTTATATAAAAACATAAAAATAATATTTAATTATTTAATAAAATAATAAAAATTTTATTTATTAATAATACATTAAATATAATATATTTTCATTTTAGAAATTTATTAATTTACAAAATATATTAATAACATATAAAGAAGTTTTTTAAATATACAAATTATTGAATAATATAATTTTAAATAAAATACAATCATAATAAATAATTTAAAGATTAAAATATTAAAAATAATAAAAATAATTAATTTTATTAATTTTTTTTTTAAAACGTAATTTTAAATAATTTTTTATTTCAAACTAATTTTTACTAAATAAATAAAATATATACTAATTATTATTTTATAATATCAATAAAAATATATATTTTTCTATGATTTTTATCATTTTTTTATTATTGTTTTCTAAAATATACATAACTTATGTTACCATTTCATCTTATATCTTATCATATTTTAAATAAAATAAAATTTTATATCATATTAATATATATATATATAAATTTATTTTTATTGTATATCAAAATTTTGAGATAATAAATGAATTGAAAAATAACCGAACAAAAGAATAAATTATAATAAAATGAAAAATATAAATAGAAGTATATAAAAATAAATTTTTCGTTCTTTGTTTAACAAAATCACTTAAATTTTTTTAACATGTAATAGTTATGTTTTAATTTTTTTACAAATACGCGTACATATATAAATATTAATTGTACATTAGTTGAAGTCACATGCAAACTTTTTCGTGCATGTATTTTATTAAGATTGATAACAGTTTAATTTTTATTTTAATTATTATACAATTTATACTTTTTAAAGTTTTTATTTATTCTAAGTGTAGTAAAGTAGTTGGTATGACCGCACATGCGTACCAACCATCTATCCGCTCCTAAAAATAAGTAAAAATGGTAAAAATTATTTTAGTTTAATTTGTAATAAATCAAGAAAAATATATACTTAAAATATATTATATATGTATTTATAAATTTATATTATATAAGACTCAAAAAAGTATATTGTAGATTGTATAAGAATAAATAAAACATATTATAGGAATATTCAAAAAATAATATAAGAATTTAATTATTATTTAACATAATTTTTATATTTGTGATTATATATTATTACAAATATTACAAAAATAAAAAGTTCTAAAATACATTGGATTCAGAAAGAAGTTTGTGAAATATTAAAAAAATATATATACAAATATTTAATTTTTAAAAAAATTAATCAATATTTAAATATTACAATTAACTATGTATATCAAAAAAATTATATATACACATATATGCGGACAACCACCTAATTCAATTTAAAATGATAAATGTTCCCTTAGTCAAATCAATACTTGATAGTAATACACATTTTTCAATTATTACTTTATTATATTTTCAAGAAGTTTGGTTTTAGCTTTTAGCCTTTGGTCATGAACATAATTCTAAAGTCATAAATGCTGACATCCAAGAAGTGATTGTGGTCCATTTATGTCTATTACGCTATGGATTAGTGAGTGATTGATAGTTTAACAAGGCATATTTATTATTTTCTTTTTTCGTTTGACGGCAACAAGGCATTTGATATACTGTATTATACTATTATATACGTATTTTGTTTACAGCACAAGGCATTTTTTTTTACACATTAGTGTTTCTCCATCCTGTTTTATTAATGTTAAAACAAATCCGCAGATAATGGGCCTTAAGAAATATTAGGCCTAATGAGACAGCCGGCCTTTTAAGTAATGCTTCGACGAACAACCCCGCCCTTAGGGCTAAAAGTCATATTTTAATCAAACAATTTAGGAAAATGGATAGCGTGACCAATACGTAAAATATTAACTGATGGCTGGTCATATGGCCTAAGCAAGTAGAACCAGTTTTTGACATTAGTGACTGTTAAAGAACCACTGTTTTGCTGCCACGAATGCCGAATCCTATGTATCAAGTTACCATTTTGTTCTACCATGTTTGATGTAGGTTAATTTAGGGTGAAATCAGAAAGTTTGAAAACGCTTATTTGATGTATTTATCAGATAAAACCTTGAAAAGGGCATTTGTGCAACTAAGACCATCTCCATCAAGAAGGTATGTAGAGGGTTTGTTAAGAGGGTTTTTAAGCTAAAAATAATTAAAAAAATGATTAAACTGTAAAATTGGTTAGAGTCATCTTTTATTGAAGGTGTTTCAGAATAATTAAAAGATCTATATGTGTCAGTCTTTCCTTAATCCATCTATTTATATTTTTTTTTAAAAAGAAAAAAGCCCAATAATGTGGCCGTGATTCTCTCTTATCGATGACTATCTCTTTTCCTATCGATGATTTTGTCTTTCCCGATTCACAATTCCGATCAGAGCTCTAAATCCAAACAATTCGGACTCTGATCATCACCATCTCTACTCGTTCTTCTTCTTCAAGATTCGAAGATTAGTAGGAGACCTCCGGATAGAAAAGACATCTCCGCCATAGTTTCAATCCCGGAGCTTCTTCGCAGGCGGGATTCACAGGAAAACCTGCTTCTAGATTCTAGAATTAGTAAGCTTCTTTCGTCTTTCATCAATTTCTATTGCTTTCAAGTTTTTGTATACGAAAAGGTAGTGAATTGTGACTAATTTTGTTAGTAACAATCGAAGTTCGGGATAAGAGTAACTGCAGGAATCGTGAGACCATTAATTGCCATTTTGTTTGTTGATAAGTGAGCTTTTTGTTGCAGCAAGCTCAATTACAATGTGAGAAATGTTTTGTATTTATAGATGTAGCTGAAGAAGATATATCAAAGACAGATGAAGAAGGAGACAGAGATACTTCCATTAGAACACAGCCTCGTAAAGGAAGAAACCTTAGTAGCAGGAACAAAATTTTCGGTATTGAATTATCACCGGATAATTTTGCAGTAGCAATGGTGTATTTTTTTCAAGGTGTTTTAGGACTCGCGAGGCTCGCTGTTAGTTTCTATTTAAAAGACGACTTGCATCTTGATCCTGCAGAAGTATGCCCTTGTAATGTTTTACAAAATTTATTAATATAAGTGAAATTAATATAATTAGAAATTAGTATCTTGATCCTGCAGAGGTATGTCCTTGTAATGTGCTTTTGAAGTTCCAGACTTTCATGACTAGACAGCTGTGATAATGGGTCTTTCTTCACTGCCATGGCTTGTTAAGCCTCTCTACGGTTTTATTAGGTATGGCTCCTTCATCACCTCTGTACTTGCTAACACTTTGATTATATCTTCAGAGACCATTGTCTAAGGAACTTGAACTGTTTCACAGTGATTCTGTGCCTTTATTTGGCTACCGAAGGAGATCATATCTAGTTCTCTCGGGACTTCTTGGTGCATTTTCCTGGAGCTTGATGGCTGGTTTTGTCGACAGTAAATACAGTGCTGCTTCTTGTATACTTCTCGGTTCCTTTTCAGTTGCCTTTTCTGATGTTGTAAGTTTTCTAACCCATTAAGTGGTTTAGTTGACTCTGGTTAAGGTCTCTCGAGTGAGTTGCAAAACAGAGATTGAATTGTTGGGTGGTGAACTTTTAATAGGTAGTAGAGTCAATGGTCGTGGAATGAGCTCGTGGTGAGTCACAAAGCGTGTCGAGATCTCTGCAGTCTTTATGCTGGGGATCTTCAGTTTTTGGTGGAATTGTGAGCTCCAGCTTTTGGTGTAAATTTTAGTTTTTTTTTAAAATACCTAACTAAAGATTCAACCAATGAAAGAGCAAAAAGTTTAAATCAAATACAAAGGTTCTTAGAAAAAAAAAGAAAAAAAAATTTATATTAAAAAATATTTAACAACCCCATATGGATTTCTACCAATGGACATGCTCTAAGAAGAGTTATTACGATTTTTGTTATGTCTTTTTGTTAAAATATATATGTATGGAAAAAGCCCACGTCATTACGTTTTGCTTAGGGCTTTGAAGCTTGTTGGATGGCCATGTAAGCAAGTTAAGTATCTACATCATACGACTGTCCAACCAAATGATCAAGATTCAAACAATGGAGCTCATCTTCCTTATCAGTAGAGGTTCATTAGTGCAATGCGCTCACGATTTAGGCTTGCTCATATTTGAAATCTTTGTTGTTTTCATATTTTTCTAAAACAAATTTCCTTTTAAGTATTATTATTATTAAATTATTAAACGGTTTCTATATATATATAGGGAATTAGGGATAGATAATATTAGTCTCTTATACTTTTCTATAATATTTCGATCTATTTCCTGCTTTGGAACTTCACATTTCTACCGACTATATATGAAATGGAAATTTCATTATTTCACAATGTTCAGTTTGCTACGTACATGTTCTTCTCTCGTATATAACTACAAAAACTACTTATTATGATTCATTGATTACGTACGTTAAGTTAAACGCGTCTGGTTATATTTTCTAAAAATATATATATATATATATACAAATAAATGCACATTAAATCAATTTTGTAAAAATACATCGTACACTAAACGTGAAACACCATCAATATCTGCTGATATTGGAGCCTAATCTTATTTTGTTTGATAGTTTCAAAATGCTTTTTTCAGCATAAAAGAAAACACTTATAATTATGCATAAATATATCGATGTAGGCAGAGGCGGAAATTGGACGGAAATTTGGCAGAAGATGGAAATGGAATTTTATTCACACCATTTATTTAACGTGTTATCTCGTTTGGTCTTTCCCCTGCATTTCTAATTGAATAAGTCAAAAGTTGGTGATAAGATATAGAATTACTAATACGATCTGATAAAAGCAAACAAAATGGTATATAGAAAAAAGCGTTTGGATTATGGAATACCCCAAACATGACATGTAATAGAAACCTAATTAAATTTTAATTAAGAGAGAAAAAACAAGATATTAATTAATATGTTATCTTTTGGAATTTCTGACGGTGAAAGATAGAAATGGGGCACCATCTCTACACGTTTGTTCTTCACTTGCTTTCAAATTTGATGCAATTTCTTTCACTCTTTGAAAGCAAAGCATCTCGTGGAAAATACGTGAGTTGAATAACAACTACAGAAACTTTACAAGAAGTGAACATTTTCTTTTAAAAGTAGTTTAATGTAATAATAGGGTTCATAAATTAGAGTAAAAGGTATTTTGATTATTATTTTATAAGTATAATAATTTCATGCAGTTTCTTTGTCTCTTTTTGTGTTAAAAAAAAAAGAGAATATATTTCCTAGAGCAACTGATTTTTCATTTTTTCCATTTCTGAAAGGCTTTCATCAAAATTGCAAATTGTCTTTTGTTTTGGTGCTTCCTAACAAAACGCTATACCAAACAAACAAAAGAGTTGCACAAGTCGAACAATTTTGTGTGGATTAACTTGGACCGCCCATATTGGCCACCTAAATGACGTGTTATACATGATCATGCAAATCGGAGAAAATAATTCTTCACTGATGATCAATAATATTACTTCCTTTACTTTTGCTGCCACATAAATTTATAAATTTCTCATCTTCTCCCAAGATAATAATGAATGATTCAACATTTTCACTTTTTGGTGCGAAAGTCGTTTTGGTACAAATTTAAGTGCAAATCAATCATCAACAATTGGCATTTCTAAATATATTAAACAATTAGGAGCCAGATCTCCATATATGTTTAAGATTGGGATATCTAGATATCGTGTCTATTAAAATGGTAAATTTTGAAGGGATATAGTCTTTTTTGTTTGTTAATATTGTATATCATTACCAAATTTTATCTTCTAAAACATTCTTCACCTTAGTTCATTTTGGTTTAATTTTGATTTTTTTTCTAGCTATAGTTTGTTTATTGTTTTTAAAATATTAAAATCGTCGGACACCCATGTTGAACATGCTCCAAAGTACTCAATCAATGCGGGATTAGATTTTTGATTAGATGTTGTTTAAAAAACTTTGTCTATAACTTTCAGATTAAGAAAAAAGCAAAGTCATGTTTGTTTTTGGTTAGCTGCACCCACAATTCACAAAATCTGACTATAAACCCAACCACTGATGATGTAAGGAGTACGGACACATCCAGAACTTGGGTTATACCATTGATATAACATCACTATAAAAACAAATAAATGAATAAACAAAATTAACTATCAACCGTCTAATTTTACAACTTTTCGAAAAAATGTATTTGTTTAAATCGAACCATCCAATTCATGTACACGATTAATATGCAAAAGGTTGCGTGATGATCGAGTAGAACTAACAGTGAATTAGGAGACAACTCGAAACTGATGAAGATCCGAGTATAAAATGTGAATATGATCCTTTGGACTCGTTTTTCTTGACACCGATATCAATAACAGATCCAGAAATAGGTTTACCGAATATATATAACCCTAAAAACATTCATCTTTACATATAGAATTCATTTTTATTGGTTTTAGAAATTCCCTCGGGTAAACCTTTAGCTTTGGTTGGTATGTTATGTAACAAACCTGCAAACATACCTTTGATTCTGTAACCATTTTTTGTTGTTAACCGAAAAAATCTTTGATCAAAACGTTGATTACTTTTTAGAATATATGAAAAGGCAGATTATTTTGTTACTTATAACGTCTTCAGCGATCACCTATAATTAAATCAAAGTTGAAAAAAAAAACTTGAACCCTACTAAACACTACAATTAGAAAACATTACAATTTCCTACCTAAAATATTGAAGATATTGGTAGGAAACAGTCAAAATTAACGTGGTAAATCTTTCAGCTACTATATATGATACAATTATTATTTTATTTTGTTATCGATGAATTGGTTATTTACTGTATTTTTATCGAGCAAGTTTAGAAAAATAACACATCCGTCTAAAGAGATGATTAACGTTAGCCGTCACATTTGAAGATTTGTTTAGTTTGTACATTTACGCCATTAAGATTATATACAAAACTTATAAACTAATAAATTTATATGTCAAAGTACACCAACTTAAAATATCATCCTAACAAGTGTTAATATAGGTAAAAATTCCAACAATTAAAGATAATTTCTTTTTATGTAAAGCTTTTTGCTAATATCATTTATCTAAAACAATTCCATATAGGTATTTTTAGCAAACCACTACTACACAGATGATGTATTATTTATCTAGTTCAACCAAATCAGTATGTTGATCCAACGACAGTCACGATGGTGACTTGGACTGGTGGCGGATTAATCGACGGCTGAGATGAGATAAGGAAAAGGGTTCCGATACGGACACGTTGTAGCTTCCCATACACATGTCGTTCTACTATTGCCACAGCAAAGCCTCATGCTGTCGGCTGTACTTTCGTAGTTTCATTATATGAAAAATATTTTTTTTTTTCTCCACTACGGAAAATATATTTTTCGAACTTAAGTTTTTAAGAAAACTGAAATTCTTGGAGAAAAAAAAACGGGTTCGATAAAAATTGGATCCATTCGACGAGAAAAAACTGAAAATAAAAATTGAATTTTCTAAATTGTGATGAGGTATCTATAGAGAACAGGGTATGGTCGAAGCAGAGGATAATTCCTCGTTAGATGACATGTTTCGTGGCGCTAAACGAAGACGAGAAGACGTGAAAGCGACGCGCACCAGAACCGCCTCTCAATTTCTTAAATAGAAAGAAACATTAGAAAATTCGACCCATCAAAATTATCCCCACACTAATCTAGTTTTGTTAAATCCCATTTTTAATTTGAAGAAATTTCAAAAAGCGAATTTGACTTAGGATTTTACTGTTAAAAATACCTTAAAAGAATGTCGTAGTTTTTTGTGTCGCTAAATAAATACGTGAGTCGAAAATCCATGTGGTTTGGTCATTGACCAAGTTTACGTACTTTAGGAATGAAGTTTAGTATCTAGATTATATTTTTTTTTTCTAAATTGTTTATGCAAATTTCTAAAATTTCAGCATATTACGAATAAAAAACGTTCGTTACGTTACGTATTGCATATATATCTTTTGTATAAACAGTTTATAGTTAGATTTCTCTGTCTTTACAGTTTGTAGTCAGATCTCTCTATTTTTATTTTTCACCTTCGGATTCCTCTATTTTACTTTTACATAATATATATATATATATATTTTAGATTATAAATATATTGATGTAAATTTCTTAATTAATAATACGGAATTTGCGGTAAGAAAGAAAATAAAACTATTTTTGCTTCTGTTGTTGTAACTTGTAACTTGTATCGGTGGTTCTCCAACATAGGACCCCCACTCTCGTTAATCGTTCCCATCGGTCTATCTTTTATTGCTTCAACCTGCACATACATACGCACATATACATTTGCCTAGTTCAGTTTTCATATAGTTTTCAAAGTTTATATAACTTCAAATTAATAGTCAAATCGTTAAAAACTTGCAACATGTCAACTTTGGTCGTTCTCAGTTTTGGCAACGAGTTTTAAATGATTCAAAGTGTTTTCAGTATTTAGAATATGTGTTATTTGTTTTTTTTTCCGGCTGTTTTTATTATATTTTATTTAATTCAACTTCAAGTATTCGAATGTCATCAGCAAACTTGGCTTCCGTTTTTCGCTAAAAATTCGAAAGTTAAATAATTCAATCAAAACGCACATTGGGATATGGATATGCTTCATCATCATCAATGGACCATCCCACTTCTTCTTTGTAAAAATTATAATGGCAAGTCGTTCAAAAAATAGAGTTGAAACTCGAGATTGCAATCAAAAAGCGAATTGTAATGATCATGTGATTTTAATCATAAAATTAGATATGGTGTAATAGGCATACTAACTCATATTACATCGGTAAATAAAAAAACTATAAAATAAATTTTTTGCTTTTTCATATTGAAAATTTAAACATGGGCGTGGATCGAATAACTTTTGAGTCTACTGATATTTGTTAATATTACATTTAAGTGATACAACCTAAATCGATGGGCCTAATTCATTGTTCTTCTCTCATCCGAACAATTATTTGTCTCAGGACCACAAAGAACGTTAGGACACAACTAAAACCTGCTCGATATCATGTGCCCGTGAATAGTCTCCATATACTTATTCGCTTCTACAAAACCTAAAGAAGTTTTTTTTGTAACAACTACAATTATTGAATCTTTATGCAACTTTTTAAAATTCTTCACACTGTGTGTCAACATTAGATTATGGAAAATATTGTAAACGCTAAATTTCAAAATATGGAGGCTCTTCTACGTAAACGAACCATCATCTACCGTACTTTTTGAATATTAAAAGTTAGAACCACATATTTGAATTGCTAATTTTAAAATTTTAACCGTCCATTTCATTTTATCCGTTTGATTTATATTCGAGAAAAAAACTATGTATTTCAGACCCAACCACCACTAACCACTTCTAAATGCG